TATGGAGACAGCGTTGAAGATAAAGGAGTCGGGAACTTATGCGAATGTTAAATGGAAGGATGAGGAGGAGATACTGGCACATGCGAGGTGTTTGATCGAGAACTCATACTCGCAGCACATTCAGAGTAATGCTGTGGTTGCATTGGCTCCGGAGCTGAAGGAAGTGGGACTCCTGGAATTGTACGTCTTGTCGAGAAAGGCGTCGATCATGGAGCCAGTCTACAAGGAGCCAGCAACGCATTTGAGGATTAGGGCGGAGCACATTATGCTGGAGGATAATGAGGATGTGCCATTTCCAGTGATCAGGGAGTTTGGAGAGAACACCTTCATGAGCTTGGTCGGATAGCATCTGTTTGAGTTAATTGGATACCGTGCTCCGGAATTCCGCATAAATAAAAGATCTATACAATACCCACTACACCGAAAATATAACTTCTTGCCGATATATATCCACGTATATATAACCGAGTGGTCGATCCATCTGCTCGAGAATCACTGCTTATCCATGGTACCATAACCCCTGCCTCATTTCCATTCATGCACTTATTCAGAGCCTTCGGATTCAATACCACTGTGGCCTCCAGTACTACATCTGGACTGACTTTTTGTGGGCATTAGAATGAGCTCCACGCGAACACACCAATCATATAATAGCAACTTGAAACGTATAAGGTAAACCTCCGGAGCGAAAACTATGTGTCGTAAATATATACTGACAATTGTATATGTGGCTTCAGATGTTCTCACGTGTTCAAAAATTTCATTCAGTTTGTCCAAGTAGATGATCGGAATGCGCCACTCAATACGCGCACTTGTATCATGGTACGATACTTTTTGAATTTGATTCCGCCTCACCCGGAGAAATCGAGAGCATTAGGAAAGATGATGTTTTTTGATATTTGAAAAACACTCAATATAACTTTTTAACCCCCCCCCCCGAAAAAAACAAAAACAAAAACAAATCGAAAATTTCGCGAACCGGGAATTGAACCCGGGTCTTCCGCGTGACAGGCGGAGATACTAGCCACTATACTATCCACGTTATGATCTGGAGGGATTAGGTTTATATCTATTGTTTTGTTACACTGGTTTGTGAATAAGGGAGATGGTTATTTCAGGTGTTTAGCCTAAGAAATGGGCTCAGTGCCTCTGTAGTGTGCATCTCATGTACAATTTAAAAACCACCATTTTCCCATTTATGTATGCCCAACACATAATTTATATATATAAATTTTCATCACTTGCTGCTACTTAGGTATTTCCGCTAGGATTCATACAGTGACATTAGAGAGTCATTGGTTCGATGACTTGCAAATTTATGTAAACCAGAAAACTGAAAGAAAGCTCGAATAGAAAAAGAGAAAGTGTGCCGTAAGACCGGTTTGTATTCGAGAACGGTTCTACTAGCAACAGATGACGACTGAGTACAGACCTGTATACAAATTCACGAACTCCGTCGTGTATTTGGAAACTGCATAGAAGGTCAATGAGACGATTAAGATATCAACTACCAAAGTATTTACGTCAACGGGAAATGCATATAGCGGGATGGTTGACGAATGTAACACTGTATTAGTGGTGTTACGTATAGTAGTAAAAAAATACATGGTGACGGTGTATATTGTCGAAAGAGTACAAGTATATATGTAGATTCACATGCAGCTTTGGAAGAGCATGAATGTGATATAACGTTTATTACTGGATGATAAAAATATGGAAAAAGAAAAGGATTCCTGTGATACATTCATAAATATTCATACAAATTTACGAAAAAATATTTTTAATATATTATATATACATAGTACCATTATAATTTACGTAGGGGAGAGACAGCAACGATATCAGGAGTCCGATTCTAACGATCGAATGTAGTGTTGCGTTACGGTAGGCCGGTAGCACTCAGTCATCGCACGCTTAGACCTACAAAATGTGAGCAAGCAGTGCTTACATACAGATTATCGTGGCACTTGCAGGTAGCGGAGCAACTGTAGCAATTCTGAAAAGGGTGGAGGGTGTACCCATGTGTGGAGACATGATCCGAGAGCGGCGCTACCACTCGATTACAATTATGAGGTGCTCATTCTACACAGTACGCTGGTTTACTATTTGTTTACTGTGTGTGGTTATACTCCGCTTGAGGCAGACCTTGTTCTTTGTTGATGATTCTACTGATTCCAACGGGGATGCACCGTTGGATGGCTCGGCCGCTATATTTGCACACAAGCGATTAGGCGAATGGGTCCAAGAAGATTTTGAAGACAACAAGTACCTACCTAAAGGTGATGAGATCCGAGCTGGGGCAGCACAAATAGGTGGGAATGGCATATATATAGAACCCTCACAGATTGAGATCGATGGAGTTGTGTTGCGACCAGATAGTGTGAACCACGCCGTACTAGTAAAGAGCGGAGTATATTCAGAGTTAAATTCAAAGGTGGCCATTACAACCGATCAAAAGAACCAGGGTAACAATGCAATTCCGAATGATCGCAGAGATAATGGTGTGGATATAACCAAACCTGAGGAGAGCACCAAGGGCGACGAGAGACCTTCAGTCGGTGGAGAGTCTAGCCTATCGAATGCACAGAAGTATCCGCCACACGAGAATGTGGGTCAAGACGCACCTGCTGGTAAGACTTTGTTTGTTCTCGTCTGTGGTGACTGATATTGTTGTTTAAGGATGGACCATGTACTGCTGTACATGTTTTAGCTCTTAAGAGATCGTTCACTTGTAGCAAATGCACTGAACCATGATATTCACAAAGTACGGGTGTGTGACCATGTACGTACACACATCCCACACAATGACATGAATAGAATGGGGGGTTTCAAACTATTTGCTATTCATATACATCATGCAGTGAACTTATTCTCGCTCCTCTACAAGTAATCTCAGCATTAATATTTAAGACCACTATTGCCGTCGGTGTTTGATCCCGCTTCTTTCGCGAGCTTCCATGTAAACATCGTGTATTGATGAGTACTGAGCGGTTAAATGGCTAAAGGGGAATACATTCACATCATCAATCACTGTCTTGTATGTTGCAACTCTATAATCCTTGCGCAAAATACTGGGTGATCCAAACGAGATGATGCGCGGGAGGGGGAGGGGGAGAACACTGTATACGATGTCTACTCATTTGAATCTATACTATGTCTACTCATTAGAATCTATACTATGTCTA